CATTTTCAACTGGCTATTTTGGCAGCATATCCCAGAGCCATGTCAAGTTCGACATGTCCAAGTATAAAATTCATGCCCTTACACAATATTTGGTGTTTTTGCTATCAAATATCAGAAGATATCTCTTTGTGACTTTCCCTCATCTCTGGTTATCTTCTGGAAATCACAATTACTAAGAATATAGGAGTCTGTGTCTACGGGCAGGTATTAATGTTTCTGGGACAGTAACAGGGAAGAATTAAAATGCATCAAGGATCCAACAGGACAGGAACTTGTTGCAAGGATACAATAGGACAGGAACTTGTTGCAGCCTCTCATATACATCATGATGTCGATATCTGCAGTATCAGTCAGTATACGAATGGGGAAGATGAGACTTCTTATGACTTGAAATTTTATGTATGTTTTAAAGGGGAAACAATCACTATCCTGTTAATTTCCCACGTACTTGTTATGTTCCCATCACAGCAAAACTCTTTCAATATCTTTTTTTTTTAAGGTTTTATTTATTTGAGAGAGAGAAAGTGAGAGAGAGAGAGAGAGAGAGAGCGAGCATAAGCAGGGATGGGGGAGAGGGAGAAGCAGACTCCCCACTGGAGCCTGACATCGGACTCAATCCCAGGGCCCTGAGATCATGACCTGAGCCGAAGGCAGATGCTTAACTGACTGAGCCACCCAGGTGCCCCTTTGATTTCTTAAATGCTCTTTCCCACCTCTGAGATTTCACATGTGCTTTTCCTTCTGCCTGGAATATTCTTCCCGATCCCTGTCTCTTTGCCTTGCAATTTCGTAATCATTTTCAATATCTGGTTCAAAAGTTACTTTCTCAGACAGAACATCTTCCACAGCCAATCTAAATCCCACCCATTTTCCTAACGATGCCCTGTGACCTCCCCCCACTTTAGCACTTGCCACACTTTCCAATGATATATTAATCTGTGTTTTCTTGTTTAAAGCATGTATCATTTAGTAGTTTGCAAGCTCAGTGAATACAAATATAACTTCTTTTTTTCTTTTTATCTTCTATAAAACTACTGTTTATTTAGCACAGCATTGTGCACACGTTAAGTAAATGAATACTTTCATAGTTTTTATTTATATTGTAGACACTAGCCACGTGATACTACTTATCTTTATTATTTGAAGTTTTTATTTTAATTCCAGTCAGTTGATAACACACATGATACTATTTAAATTAATATCAGTTAAAATTAAATAACATTAAAAATTCAGTTCCTCTGTCACACTAATCGAATGTTAATACTAATAGCCATGTAGCTCCTGTGTTGGAGAGTGGACATATGGAACATTCCTATCATCATGTAAAGTTCTAGTGGACAGACTAATCTACACTAAGCAATTAATAAAGGAGAAGTAACAAATTAAAGACTTATTAGACATCCATATCTAGATTCTATGCATTCTATTCTATTCACTCCTATTTTCTTTAGGGTCCTTAGTTGCAAATATTTCTCAGTCCAGATGGTTCCTCAAATTATTGCTAAGTATATCTATCCATCAAGTCACTTCTTTTCTAAAAAAACATTGATAACTTCTCATTGCCTACAGGATAGAGTTTGAACTACTTAATATGGAAACAAGACTTCTTATCTTCCAATTTACCGCTCCAATCTCTAATGACATTGCCCCCCATATCCACCCCTCCAGTTCCACTTTCAACAAAATTTCACCCTTCTGTAAACCAAATATATGCTGTCACACTGCTTGAAAGGCTTATCCTTTCCTTTCCTTGATATAGTCCTCCTCCTTCTACAAGACTCAATTTTTGAGCTTCGTCAAATATGCAGTATTCTCAGCTCCTACCTGTCACTTAATATTGTGATTATCTGTTTGTATCTCTATTTCCTTCCGTGTGCTGGGAGATTTCAAAGAAAGGGGACAGTGGTGTACTTATCTCCCAGGGTCTACTGTATTACTGCATTTTGTCCAGAACTTATATTTTGTTATTATTGAAATAATGAAATAATACAATAATGAAAGAGTGGGTTACAGAATTGAAAAGACTCGCTCTTATTCTGTAAACAATCTTTAATAATTTTTGTGTAATTTTTGCCCATTTCAATAAACTTTCTCCCAACCAATCACAATATACTACACAAATAGTACTATCTTTGACAGGTCAGTAAAATGACTTTTACTTGAGTTTAGTAGTTGAAGAGGTAGGGGACACTTAAATTGTCCACAGTTTGGAGGCTGAAGGTCATCAGTTACAAATGGAAACAAATAAAAACAACAAAACCAGAATATTTATAAGTATATGAGCCTGTAGGAGTATCCTGGTGGAACGAAAAGTATAAAGAACTCCCACATTACTAAAATGTTCTTTAAACTCAGTAAAGTGTACACAGTTCACTCTTACTTCTCTAACATGATCTCTGACTTCTTGGATCTTTGCTTATATCTATCAAACTCAATTTTGTCTCATAGCATAGACAAACATTTATTATTATTTCTTGAAACTGAAAAACAGTATTGTAATAATCTCCTGGGGGTTAAAAAAAAAAAAAAGAAAAGAACCAGCAGAGAGGAATAATATGTTCTGAATAATGTCAGAGAACATTTTATGTGAAAATAATATTTAACAGCAACTATTAGGCCAAACAGTTGTTTTCTTTTTAATTAAACTTGTTATTATTTATGGGACGCCTGGGTGGCTCAGTCATTAAGCCTCTGCCTCTGGCTCAGTTGTTTAGCCTCTGCCTTCAGCTCAGGTCATGATCCCAGAGTCCTGGGATCGAGCCCCGCATTGGGCTCCCTATTCAGTGGAAGCCTGCTTCTCCTTTTTCCACTCCCACTTCCCCTGCTTGTGTTCCTGCTCTCACTCTCTCTGTCAGATAAATAAATAAAATCTTTTAAAAAATTAAAAAATAAACTATTTTGACATATTTATAAAAAGATTTCAAGTCATTTTAAATCTTGTCAGTGAAATCTCCATTTACAAGTGCTCATTTTTTTGCCACACTTTAACCCTAAATTATTAAGTAGAGCTCAAAACTGTCAGAGCGTGCTGCAATTAAGAAATTTTAGAGGTGTATGCAAAACCAAATGTTGTAAACATTTGACGAATTGATCATATGTGTAGTGGGAAATTCTGAAGATGGTACTAACTAGAAACAGTGATTGAGTGAAGAGATGTAAGAAGGACCTCCATTATATCTTCTTTTTTTAGAGGAAATTCATCCATCACATGTCCTTATTTGATCTCACAATTTGTTAGCTTTTTATCCAAACACAATGGCTTGACAAAATCTTGCTGTGTGGCCTTCGAGTTTTTTGTGGTGGGAAGATTCCTGCACTACAGTTCTCTCAGCCTTTTTAATTATATAGGAGTTTGTTCATAATTAAAACAAAATGACCCAAGGCTTTTAGTTAAGAGTCTCCATCATATTTTTAAAATATAATGTTATAAACAGGGCAACTACATTTTTCTTCGATATATTTTTCCACCTCTAACATAGCTTTCAGTACATTTAACAATAGGGTACAAATTCTATTTTGTAACGGATGATTTTCTATCACATGTGTTAGACCTACGAAGAAATAAGTATTGAACTCCTTCACAAAACACTTGTTATCGGTGTTCATCAGAGAGTGACTTGTAAATCTTTTTTGACATATTTAATGTAGTTCATTTATGTAAATGATGTCAATCCACAGCCCCGCTTTTCAGGGTCGGAATACTGTTGTTACAAAGCATGCTTCAGTACACTAACATGCTACGACTACTCCAAGCAATGGCCATTCATCTCTAGGCAAGAGGCTTCAAGAGAAATTACTGTGAATTCTTGGACTCTGAAAGAATGAGGATGTTTTTTAGAGAGTTCTGTCCCCTGGGGGTAAAGGGATCAGTGGGAGGCAGCATCAGTGGCTAGGACACTAGGAAAAGAGTGATGTGTGCTTGGGAGCTGGCCTCATTCAAAAGCCATGTTTTCATTAGCACTTTTAAGTGCTGTGATGGTTTGTATTTCTGTCCCTGGAAGTGTTCAAAAGCCTGAGGGTACAGATGGAGACAAAAAAGTGATGGGCTCAAATGGAAGAAAATGAAAAGTTTGTATAAGACCTAAAAAAAGCTTCCTATTCAGAGTACTTATTAACTTAACAGCTCTTTTTTAATGACAGAGTTTATGAAAGGTGTCTGGCTATTTAAGAAAAGTTATTTCAAGGAAGATAAATCCAACTGAAAAAAATAATATATTGAAATCGAAAGTGTGAACCAGTAGCATTACTATTCTATAAAGCTTGTATTCGCTCAAATGAAAACTTGAATGGAACAAAATGGAAGTGTTTCACAGAATTCTGTTTTCCTGTAACTAACATAAAATGGCAATTTTAAAAAATGAATTGCAGTGTTCTTCAAAAAAAAAAGTTCTACATTTTGCTTTGTTTTTTCTTCTTATCTCATTTATTCTCAAAGCCTAATCTAGATAAATGGTCTAGAAAATATTTACTATAGTATTACTATAACCACATTTTCAACTTACTCTATCCCTATAAAGATACATAATTTTGCATGTGTGATGTGTTTTCATAAAAATACCAGACCTTATTCTGTTAGTGTTCAAGTTACTCCAGTGATTACACTACTTTCAACTTCAAAATCAAATTTAATGTACAAAAGCATTTTAATTTCCATGGTCCAGGACAATGCAGGGATCTTACCGGGAATAGTGAAAACTAGCAAAGGGATAACCCGTCAAAATAAGGAGCAAGCTGTCAAAGAGATCTAACTCAAACCTGGCTAAGTTCTTACTGGGGAAAAAAACCAAAAACCAAAACAACAAAAAAAACCCTAATACTAGAAAAATTTGTATCCTTTTTTTTTTTTTTCACTTTTGGATCGTAAAAACTATTCATGTGAGATAGTGTGAATTTATCTTACCACTTATGAATGACGGACATTAACTTTTACTTTAACATTATATAATTAATTGTTCATACACACACATACATGCCACTTAAGTAAGATAAATATATCTTGCCTTACAAACTCTTCCAACTCGAGAAAGGATGGTCTTATCAGAAGTAGTGCCCTCTTGAGATGATTCACGAAAGAAGAAATATATTTTATCGTCGTCTGGATTATAGGTGTCTGGTATAGGGAAAGTTCCAATAAATTTTGCTCCTGTTTGAAAGAAAAGAAGCTATGGATTACAATACTGAGACAACGCATCCAAGATAGCATCATCTTGGGAATAAGGTGTTTTTGAATGTGAAACAATGATCAGCCGAATAAAAAAAAACACAAAAATATGAACCATGACTGGAATGAGTGAAATGAGACATATCCACAAATAAACATGACACTATACAGAAACATGTATTAGTATGCAGAGATCTCAAACAAGTTCTGTAGGAATTCCAGAGAGCCGGTGAGAACATGACTGGCTGATGTTCACAATTGCTATAACTCAACAAATTTACTTAGAAAGTCCTTTCAAACCTGGAGAATCTACGATTTTATATTTTCCTTGTATTTGATGGAGTCACTGTTTTTTAAAATCACAATGTATAGAATGAAGAGCTGAGGGAAAACTAGAAACAACATCCCAAATTTTTATACATTATGACGTTACTTGCCACCTTTTAGGGAAAAGGGAAATTAAAACAACTATTAATAGAGCTTGGGTTGACTCCCTTGTAGGTTCTGGAGACACTCTTTGCAGGTTTATATCCTATCTCTCCCACTTACTACAAGGGTGGCTTTATGTGAATTTTTGTCTTCTCTATGTCTCAATTTCCTCATGCCTAATATGAGGCTATCAATCATCTACCTCATAGGATAACTGATATGATAACCAAGTGAATTAATGTATGTAAAGCACTTGCTATCTGGTAGTGACTGACACATAATAAGGGTTCAATAAATGTTTCAATAAATTTATTTATTTATATTTAATTTATAATATTAATTGTATAATTATTTTTATTATAACATTTAATTTTAAATATAATTTTTAAATTTAAATTTAAAATTAAAATTTTAAATAAAATATAATTTTGTGATTATAATATTAATTCATATTTAATTTATAATATTAATTATTTATAAGTGTTCAATAAGTTTATTATTAAATTAATCTTCAGGATGATAATCATGATTATGAACACAAACAAGAGAATGATAGAAAATTTAGCACATCCACACACTTGTTCAAATAACAGGTAGCTGATAAAAACAAAGTACACATTCTAAACGTACTGGCATGGAAAGATGCCATTATATAGGTCAAATGAAAAAAAATATTAGAAACTCAACTAATCCTTTTGCTCTGCACCAATGACAAGCCAGTTTGGGTTACTAATTCCTTGTTTAAAAACTTTTGGGCATTTTTAAGTCTGGGTTTTATAGAATTGTGAATGAACCAAGTAACAGATCTGTAATGAGGTGACACTAATTTGGAAATCGTTCTTTTGATTAAGGCAAAATAGAGAGTATGGTTATTCAAGAAGGAAGAACCTCAATGAAGTAGAAAATGGGAGATGCCTGGAGGGAAGCACAGAGCAGTCTTTAGGAAGTAGAGCAGGAAACAAGACAAAAAAATTGCAAACCACAACCACCAGCACCATAACAAAAACAAAACAGAAAAGAAGATCAACATTTGCCCTATTGTCATGTACCCCAGGAGTCCCGAAAATCATCTCCTGCTAAAGCAGAGCAGTAGGCCAATAGCCCAGTAAACAACTTTCCCAAGAGCCTTCTTCAATAAACAAAAGTTAATGTTTGATTCCAAGTGATGGGTAGTTCAGTCTTCGCCATCCCAGTCAGGCTGGGTCACCCGGGGTCTCCTATCCAATCTCTTCTCTGCTTAAACGGGAAACTTTAAGAGGAAAATGAGTGGGAATTATATGCATGAACTTTCTCTCCTTTGTTCTTTATTATTTCCGAGTTCTTTCCCTGAAGTTTAGAACTCCAGTGAACTCCTACGCTCTTAATAATCTCACTTTCATACAGTCCTAGGTTACTTAAAAAAAAAAATTTTTTTTTTTAGAAAATCATGTAGGGTTTTGTGGGATGCCTGGGTGGCTTGGTCGGTTAAGCAGCTGCTTTTGGCTCAGGTCATGATCCTGGAGTCCCAGGATTGAGCCCTGAATCCAGCTCTATGCTCAGCAGGAGAATGCTTCTCCTTCTCCCTCTGCCCCTTCCCCTTCATGTATGCGCTCTCTCTCTCTCTCTCTCTTGCTCACTCTCTCTGAAATAAATAAATAAAATAAAATTAAATTAAAAAAAGAAAGGAAGGAAGGAAGGAAGGAAGGAAGGAAAGAGAAAGAAAGAAAACCATGTAGGGTTTTGGGGTTTCTGGGTGGCTCATTCCACAAAGTGTCCTACTCTTGATTTTGGCTCAGGTCACGATCTCAGAGTCCTATAATCGAGCCCCACAGTGGGCTCTATGCTCAGCAGAGAGTCTGTTTAAGGATTATCTCCCTCTCCCTCTGCCCTTCCTGAGCAGGAGCAGGACACAAAAGGGATAAAACTGAAAAGTTTTTTGAATTATAGGAATATGATTGGCTTGTTTTATCTTAACAAATATTTGAACTTAAAAAGGGGATTCACACAAATAGAATTTATCATAGCACTCAAATAATTTAAATAAAAGTTCTACATGAAGCATGTCACCCTGGTAACATTTATATCCTATCACTTTAATGATTGAGTTGAATTTATAATTTAAAAAATAACCTTGTAGTACAAAATTTACAGTCCTTTCTCTCTAGAGAGGAAATGAGAATTCAGTGATGTGAAACAGAAAATCATTACAGTTAAAAGGAATTCCAGTGTGAGAGACAGAGTTGCTTGTAAAGCTTTCCTCAGATACTCAGATGGGCGAAGTGGTTAGAGGAGACAATTGTTAAGTCTTCACTTGTTTATTGAGTTCAACAAAAAAAATAATTCTGTGACAAAGGGGAATGTAGATGGTCTGCAGGGTGACCAAATAAATATGACAATTCCTATTCTCCTTTTGCAGAAATGCACAGAAAAACTTGCTTTGGGTATTGAAAATATTATCCAAGTTCAGGTATCACCATTTGAAATGGTCAAAGGTAGAATGTGACACTAGTCTACATTCCAGGAATTTTATCTATGACATTAGTGGGGGAAAACAGAGTAAATACTTGGCAATTTGTATTTCTTTCACCTTTTAACTAATATATAATACAGATGATCAATAGATCCTAGACGTTCATAGATAAATAATCACTTATATTCAGTGACTGTTGATTTTATTGGATTCTCTTTTAAATGTTGGTTCTAAGTCTTGTAAGACAACCATTTTGGAGTACTGTGAGAAAACTGAATGATGGGGATTTTGAAGCCAAATGTTTATTATAGGAAGAAATCTAATTATGAAAAATGAGGTAGTATCAAACAGTACTTTATTGTGTGATTTCCATAATAAGCACACTCATGAAGAAAAAATAAATACGTTTCAAGAATATAGAATATCTTTCTTGCAGATTCAATTGAGGTCCTGTCTTAGAAGAATATTGATGCTAGTATTTTAGTATAGAAACTCTTTCTTGAGTTGCTGCCAAGTTTGAGTAAAAATAGTTATCGTTTAATCAGTGTATGACATGCACAGTTGTTGCATTAAATAATTTAAAATCATAACAATAGACACCTGGGCTTTATTACAATGGCACATTTTCCCCCTTCAGCATTGAAAAGACATGCTCTAATGGGGATAGAGTTTAAAATCATGCATTTTCACAAATGAGCTATTAGCATGACACATAGAGGCACTGCCTAGTGAAAATGGCATCAACCCACGGAACCTATAATATGCGTCACCAATCTCTTTGCACCGGATGAGCACACCCACACCATGAATTAACAAATAGTGACTTCCTTACTTTCCTTCACTTCTTGCAATATCTTCTCACTATCACTTTTTAAAAATGTTACCCTTTCAGAGTGGAAGGAGAATTTGCAGACAACAGAATTCTCCAGGAGAAACTTTCAATGAAAACTGCCTCCATATGTTAAAAATAAAAATTTAAAACAGAAGTTCTCATCTACTCCAGCAAAGAAAATAAAAACATACGCATTTGAGGCATCATTGTTTGTTTTCATTTTTCCAAATGGTCATACTTCTAAGCTTTACCTAAAATTCTCATGAAAACTCAACTGTATTTGAGTAACCACTCTAACTTGTATCTACATTCCTGTTTCCTGATGGTTCTAAGGTTAAGTTGATTAAGAAAAGTGAGAAAGAGAAGTGTGGAACCATCCAAGACTTCATCCAAAACCGCCCATAGTACTGCATCTTCACAAGTTTTCATCCTCCTGTTGAGGTATTTAGCAGAAGGATTGGTCTCCCAAAGAAGGGGTCGGTATTCACACTTCTTAAGGCTACTGAACCTGGATTAGACAAAGTCCTAGAAGAATTCTGACAAGGATCCTTGGACTGGTAAGTGAAGAGGATAGCTGATCTTGCTCTGGCTAATTTTGGGTAGGGCAAAGAACAAAATACAGCATACACACAAGCATTAAGGATTTTATGGATTTAAAAAGATTCACATAAGAAGTGTGTAAATCTGGCGATTCACAGACCTGTACCCCTGGGGATAAAAATACACTATATGTTTATTAAAATAAATAAATAAATTAATTAATTAAAAAAAAGATTCACATAAGATCATACTTTTTAAAAGGTTAATTATTTAAACACACTCAATTGCAAATTTAATTTAATTCTTATATTTCACTTAATCTAAATGTAATATTGATTTACAATTATAAGAGTTTAGTGAATCACAAACATGTAAAATTAGCATTCTAAACTAAAAGTGGAAGTACAGAGAGGAAAATTTAACAGGAAGAAAACCTTTCAAACTGTCTAACCAGAAATAAATAACACAATGATGTTTTACTATACAGTAGAAACTGATTTGACATTGACACCGACTCCATCATTTGAAATATCTACTATCTGTCAGTTCTTTCAACCTCGCAACAATTTTATGAGACCAAGGCATGAGTTTCACACATACATCTAAGTGAACAGTAAAGAAAATTTATACTTTTGTTGCATTATTTGATTGTGAGCTACTGCACACAGTTAATAAATAAGTACCCTTTTGACCAGCACTGTCTAATAGAAAATCCTGTGATGATGGAAATGTTTTACATCTGTGCTGTCCAACATGAGAGTCTCTAGCCCACATAGCTAGTGAGCACTTGAAATATGCCCAGTATGTCTAAGGAACCAAATTTTAAATGCATTTAATTTTAATTAATTTAAATGCACGTGTGGCTAGTATCTACTATATTAGTGCCACTTCAGAGCAAGTAGTCTATGTCAGTAACTGGTACATCAGGTCCAATGTTAAGGCAGAAACAGCCTCTATTCCCATAACTGCCACCAGAAGGGCAGTCAAACTTGTGACTCAGGAGATAGGGTACACTACCACTTTCTGAGGTTTGGTACTGGAATGGAAGGCCAGGCTTGGGGATAATAAACCTGGACACACCTTCTTCATGATATCTTAGTTTATGGAATATGAGGTTGAATAAGATCATGTCTATGATAACCTTATTCCCAGTAATCTTTGTAGTTCCCCAATCACTGTATTTTGTTTCCCTGTCCTCCTGATTCTAGCCAGATGATCCACTGACCTCTGTCTTGGGACCCCAGGGTGACTCTATCTGGAAAATGGTCACTTCTCGGAATGGAAAACAGAAATGCTTCCTAAGCAAGTCAATCTTTTGCCTTAGCCAATCAAGTACTTCCTCATTACAAGAATCTCATATAGTTTCTGGGCTGCCTGTCCATCAGCAAACAGCTGATCTGATGTTCTCACTAACCCTGACTTCAGAGATTCTGCCACCGTCTTCCACATCACTTACCCAACTACACATTATCTCTCTGCTCTAGCGCCTGCAACCAAACCCAGATCCTCAGTTTGCTATTGCACAACATAGCATGTAGGCACGGCCTTTGTCTGTAAATGAGGCTCCAGGAGCAGGGGATGTGCAGTCAAAACAGCAGAAATTTGGCTGATCATAAAATATATCCTAAAATGTCAAGAAAAAAAGTATCGAGAGCAAGAAAGACATTCCTGACTTTCAAGCTCACATCTACTAGCTATCTGTGCATGGTATATCTGACTTCTAGTCTATCCCCCATATGTAAAGTGGGAATAGTAATTCTTTCAGGATTATACCGGTAAATAAAATAATACGTTAAAAGTGCCTAAAATAGGGATATTATACAAAATAAGTTTAAAGCATAAGAGATTAGTGATAGGAAAATGAGTTAACAAAGAATAAAATAGTGGCAAGAATCCAGAGATCAAGTGATGATGAGCTACAGAGTGATGGTGGCCATGGAAACAACAAGGTCGATAGATATTTTGGCGGAAGTAAAGGCCCTAGTGATAGATAAGATAAAGGGGGTGGGGGAGAGGAAGGAATAAAAGATAACTTCAAGGTAAATCGGGGGATAATGTTTAGAAAGTTAAGATAGATAGAAATCAGGAAACTGGTGTTGAAACTGGTAGGTTCTAAAGGGAAAATAAGATAATTTAAATTAGATTCCAGGGATTTTAGATTTTAGATCCAATTAGTCTTTTATATATCTCTATCTCTATCTGTATCAGCATATATTTAAAGAAACTCAAGCAAAGGATCACAACTTAAACAACTTGTAAAAAATAACCAAAGCCCCCCTTGTGAGACTATCAGGGTGAAGGCTTAGATCTCTTTATTTGCATATAAAACATCAGTTTCTTTCTTGTGATCTGGAAGGAAAATATAAGACACCCAAAAAATATTTTTAAGGGCTCTGAGTTGCAGAAAAAAGGTTTAGAAATGTAGTTTCAGGAAACACGAACACAGGAAACAGCTGGGAATCTGAGAGTGGATGAGCTCACAGAATTATGAAATGCAGAGAGAAAGAAAGAAAAGGTGGTCAATAGTTACAAATACTTACCAGATGTCAGCGGACCACAGAGACTTTGGTGTTTTAGTGCCACCTCCTGTCTTTTTTTACCATCAAGAATAGTGACAATGATGGTGATGACAGCATCTACACTGAACTCTTAAAATTGTCTTCCATTAGACTTCCCAGTATGATCTTCCCTATATGATCTAATTTAATCCTTAGAACACCCTGTGAATAAATACTATTATTATGCCAAATTTTTGACAAAACAATGTAGGCACACAGAAAGGCTTGACCAAGTTCACAAATAAGTGACATTCAGGATTTAAACCTACATTATTTAATTCCACAGAAACAGAGCTGTGATTCTTGTCTAAACTAGGACACTTTTGAGAGGTACAGAATGTTAGAGGTAGAATGGAAATAGAGAGCAAACCGGGTTATATGGCCCGTAATCACTAAGCATTCTGCTTTGACTGTCTTAGAACCACAAATGTTAGTTTTCCTAATTCTTAGTCATTTGCTTGCATTCAGTCCACTGAGACTTTTCTACTTTTTTTTTCTTCCTTTTTCCTTTCTTCCTTTCTACTGATTTCTTTAATCACCAAGTTCCTTCAGTATCCAAAACCTTCTCTTGAATTCTGTCCTTATAGCCTTGGACTTTTCTATCCCCAAACAAATATCTTCTATTTCAAATATTTGTTGCTGTATATTCTCACATTCATCTCCACTGGCAATACCTCTGTTCTTGTCCCGTATTTTCCTATTTCCTTGCTATGACTCCTTTCTCTATCCTCATTCTCTTCTAGTCTTCTCTTCATGCTACTGTCAGTTACCTTTATAAAAAACAAAGATCTGATTCCTTGATTAAGACCATGGTATGGATGAAGGGGTAAGAAGGCACAAACATCCACTTATAAAATAAGTCCTGGGGATGTAATACACAGCAAGGTGACTATAGCTAATATACTGTATTGAATATTTGAAAGTTGCTAAAACAGTAGATCTTAGAAGTTCTCATCACACACAGAAAAATACTTGCAACTATGTATGGTGACGGATATCAACTAGACTTTTTGTGATCATTTTGCAACAAATACAAATATTGAATTATTATATTTTACCCTTGAAACTAATATAATGTTATGTGTCAATTATACTTTAAAAAAAAAAAAACAACTAGGCCATAGTTCACTTCCCTGTGGTGTCAGGATAATATTTACAGCTTTCCAGCCCCAACTCCCACTCTCTCCTAATGCTTCCAGTAGCCATCATCGGTGAGGTCAGTAACCCTCCCTTGTAATCTTTGTAAACCCAGGAGTAGAACAGCATTCAGTATACCAAGGGTCCTCAAAAGTTGTTACTAAATGTTAAACCAACTCAAGTCTTCTTCCTTTGTGATCCTTTTCACACATCATTAGAAACATGCTAGTCAAATAATAGTTGAATAAAGATTTCCGACATTATTAATTCTGCAATGCCATTGACTTCTAAATGGACCTGTCTTTGTTAAGGGATAAATAGAATAATCTCTGAAAAGAGTGGCAATTTAATGACATTTGCCATCCCAAGATTAAGAAATACAATCTATACTTCATTTTAAAGCCATATGTATATCTTGTTACCTAAACAGATATGGGTATTTTTTTCTATTTGGTAAAAATCCAGGGAGTCACTCTCAAACCAAGTATTTCCAAAAAAACCTCACAATGCTCAAGAAGATAGTCTTGCCCTAACTGAGGGTAGAGAAATTAATGAGAAATCACGTAGTTGGGAGATATTCTAAATTTGTCTTCCCATTAATAAGGCTCTTTTTCGGTCAAGGGAGAGCCCATTGTTGTGTAAACAAATGTATCTGGAGGTTCTGACTAAAGAGATGTTTTAAAGTGTTTTTCCCTTCTGTTTATGTTGTCACTGCTTAAATGATACTGAGAGATGGAGAGATAGCCCCTAGGAAATGTCTACCCAGGCCTCCTGCACTAAAATCCAGTATTTATGGTGGGAAAGAGAAATGTTGTTTGTCTGCTTAAATGGCAAAACGTTATGTGATTCTGCCACGCTATATAATAAAGTCCTATGATAATTAGAAAACATTAGATTACCATGATTAAACCTGACCTGCTGTAAGGCAGGAGAGCATAAGCAAACAGTAATTAATTAATTAGTCAATTAATTCATTAGTGGCTTTCTTAAAACTCAGAATACTGTATGTTTTTTTAAAACTCAGAATACTCCAAAAAAAAGTCATCAGGTAAACTAATGTCAATATTAATACGCTTAAAATTTTAGAGGGACACGTCAACCCAGGTATAAATTACCTTTAACAAAAGAAGTTAGCATTACAACCTAATCCCTTGTCATGAGGCTCATAGATAGTATTTGGCTTAGTCATTAAAAAACAGACTTCAGGAGAAAGATCGCCATCTTGAGCCCCAGGGTCATAAGTGACACGTTATAAGAATGTGACCAAATTTCTCAACCTCACTCTGTTTAGTCATCTGTAAAAGGCACATAATAATAATGCATACCTCATATGTCACTGTGGACATTTAAAAAATCAATTAGAGCATGGAACAGCATCCAGGACAATAGCACACTCTCAGTAAGTGTCAGCTATTATTATTATATACACAACAGGTCCTGGGGATTTGTCTTAGTGGGAAATTAATCAAATGTATTTTATAATGTTAAGCTAAACCACTTATTCCAAACACATCTGAATGAGTAATAATGAGTTTCTTATCTACCCAAAAGCAAAGGCAAAAAAAATGAAAAGAGAAAATCACTAACCATTGAGCCAGTAGTGCTCTGAAATGTCAGTTCTGATGTAATGATGGTCGTGAGTAGGCCCAAGGGAGCGCGTGAATGCCGTGTCTTTGCCAAGGAAATCAGATGCTGTTCCAGAGTAGAGGTACTCATCTGAGAGGGAGAAGAGAATACACAGGACTTCTATGAGTACAGCAGCAGATACTACTGGCAATACACTTAATTTCATGGCACGAAACCAAAGGCGTTCCTTGCTTAATATGAGAAGATACTGTTTCATAAATTTTACATTCAAATTTTGAAAAATTTGTAGCATCAAAGACAAGATAACTCAATGAACTTTGGTATGCTGATGCTAGAGACCTGAAGATAATGGCCAAAGTCTTCAGAATTCATAACTGCATATGCACTAGCTTCTCTTATGAATAAGCTCTTCCTCCTTTCCCCTCTCCCCACAAATAATTCAAAGATACATCATAATTAGGAGTTTGTCTTTGTAGCAGCCCGAAAAAATACTAAAAAGTAAATGCCATAATGAGGAATGGATTGCGTAATTAGTATTTACTTAACCGACACAACCTCAATGACCACAACTTTTCTCTGCCTAACCTCTGCTGAAAGGGAGCTTTCAGCACTGAAGTCATTCTTGGTAATTATAACATGTTGCATTCCTTGTAGCTAATCACATCTCTAATGGTTCTGATAAACAGGAATTCCTGAAAAGAAAAAGATGTGGCTATTACTGCATACCGAACTTCTTTGTCCTGTTATTTATGTAAAATGCATATCCATGTTTTGCCAGAAAGAGAGAAGTGGTGGGGGGGGATGCAGAAGAGAAAGGAGAAGAGAAAGAGCAGGGGAGGAAGAAGGGAAAGAGAAGGATGGGGAGAGAAAAGGAAGAAACGGGGGAAGAAAGGGAATAGAAAAGGATTGAGGGAGAGAAAGAGGGGTGTGGGCCAGTGTTCCTTAATGCTAGTTGGCACTTGGAGAGGAGAGAGACAAGAATGCTGTACCTACAGTGGAATATATTGCGCTTTGAAAGCTAAGCTTCTACTTTAAGAAATCCTTATAGTCAACAACGTTGAGTACACCTAACAGACAAAAAAAAAAAAAAAAGACTCATTTCTACAGAACATTTAGATTTATAAATGGCCATGTATAAGAACAATGAAAGACACCATTTTATCACTAAAATCCAATTTTCCTCAGAAACATTATCTTTAAAATTCTGACTTTTTTTTTTTAAGATTTTATTTATTTATTTGACACAGAGAGAGATCACAAGTAGGCAGAGAGGCAGGCAGAGAGAGAGGGGGAGGCAGGCTTCCTGCTGAGCAGAGAGTCAGATGCAGGGCTCAATCCCAGGACCCTGAGACCATGACCTGAGCTGAAGGCAGAGGCTTAACCCACTGAACCACCCAGGCACTCCTAAAATTCTGACTTTCTATAAGTGATTGAGATATTTCCTAAATCCTCTGATTAAATCCATCTAAATAACCTGTTATTCAACTATTTGAGTCAACCAATCTAAATAATGACAGGAGTAAATTTCCAAAGGAAAAAACCAAACCAAAACAAAACAATACACAGAAGAGAGAAATCCAGTTAGGTAAAATAAATATAAATATGATATTACTTCCTTCTCTTAAAGCAATCTCCTAAAATTAATGGTAAATGGTAATATTTCATTTGTAAGCAAATTTTTTAAAATGGAAGAAAAAAAATAACACCAAAAAGGCATTACTTGGTAAGAGTAAAGGAAAGAAACTATTCATTTGAAACATAAAAAACTGTAGATATTTGAACATATTGTCCAAAAAAAAAAAAAAAGTGTGTGTTTCAACCTAAAAACTGTATCTCTAGACCCAGGCTTTAAAACTGTCTTTGTATTTAAATCACTTAGGGATTTGTAAGAGGGGTCACCGATGCCTGCAATCCATTGTTTTTATTAAGGCTCTGTCAACCCCACTTGACAAATCAGAATCCCAAATCATCTATCTCACTTTCTGAGGATAAAGACTGAACATCAGTCATACAATTTTCAAAACACACAAAAACACGCACGCTTTCACTTCAAAGGAAGATCACTAGTTCTCACTAAGTGAAAATTAAAATGTCATGATACTTCACTCTTATCGTCTATTCAAACATTTGATAGACAAGTTCAATAAAAAGAGAGTAAAGTCATGAACCAAACCAAGACAAAAGGGGTCCTTATAATGTTTAAAATTCAGAGGTCGTGCTGACATTCCTCAGAACAGACTTCAGACCACAAAGCACTGCCTTCTTTAAACAGGACAGTCACCTCACAAGCGAATTTAAAATGTAGACAAAGCAAGAGAAGACTGTGCTAACAAAAATTTCGCATTGAGGGAAAAGGTGTTATCACATTCTATTATCTGTATTTCATATTACCTGTATTCCACCATTTGTTTTATTAGTTTATCTGCTACATCTTATTATTAATCCTCCCACTCAAATCTTCAGCATATTTTGTAACCTATTATGTTTAAGGAATTGCTAAATTTAACTTCCATAGAAGCCAAATAGGGACATAGCTTTGTATAAGAAAATCTGAGACATCGAACTAAAATTATAGAAGAAAGTATGTGTCGTTTGCATTAAAAAGAATTCAACCTGAAGTTCATTTAAAAACTGCGTAGAGGGGGGCCTGGGTGGCTCAGTCGGGTAAGCATCTGCCTTCAGCCCAAGTCATGATCTCAGGGTTCTGGGATGGCCCTGCGCTGGCTCCCCGCTCAGTGGGGAGTCTGCTTCTCTCTCTCCCTCTGCCCTTCCCTTCCTTGTGCTCACACACTCTATCTCTTCCAGATAAATAAATATAAATTAAAAAAAAAATTAAAACTGGGTTGAAATGAAGGACTTGCTTGGTCTTCCCCTGAGGATAAGGATGCTAAATATAGAGATATGGCACTAAAATACTATAATCAAAAAGCCCGTGAAAGAGTAATCCCAGATAATCTTTAACTCAATAAGAAAATGTGGTTCAGTCCACACATACCTTTGCAGAAAACCACCTAAAAGCAAGAACTGCCTGCCATTGATCTTACCTGTCATTACCGAGGCAAAAGGCTGCTGAGGATCAAAAGGACATTTCAGTCTGCCAGACTCCAAATTCTGTGTGTCTAGTTTGAATATAACTTCCTGTTAGGAGAAATATTAACACAAGTGAGATTTTTTTTTTTTTAAAGAGCAGAATCAGCAAGAAGATAGGAGATAAGAATGAAATTCTAACTCATTAATTCAGCAAAAACTGATTGAGCATTTAGCACAGGCATCATGCTGGGCTCCTTAATCTTCAGCAAATATTATTTCTGGCAAGGCTCAATTCCCAGGTTTTGGTCTGTGTTTGCCCCAAGTAGTAATGATAATACTGAATGAACTTTTCAATCGGAAGTAGTGATCTAACCATCAATTCACTAAGTCTGGACCACTCTCATTATCAAAATCACCAGCAAGCACACATATTTCTCAAGGCTAATAACAAATTTATTGAGCCCCATGAGCTAATTTCCTCATCTAAGAAATGAATTTATGGGGCGCCTGGCTGGCTCAGTCCGTTGAGCATGTGACTGCTGATCTCAGGTTCATGAGTTCGAGCCCCATGCTGGGTAAAAAAATTTTTTCTTAATAAAGATTTTATGTATTTATTTGACAGATGGAGATCACAAGTAGGCAGAGAGGCAGGCAGAGAGAGAGGGGGAAGCAGGCGATGCAGGGCTTGATCCCAGGACCCCAAGATCACTACCTGAGCCAAAGGCAGAGGCTTAACCCACTGAGCCCTCGAGGTGTCCCTAAGGATTACTTAAAAAGAAGAAGAAGAAGAAGAAGAAGAAGAAGAAGAAGAAGAAGAAGAAGAAGAAGAGGAAGAAGAAATGAATTTACTCTAAGAATTATACTTTCATTACTATTGTGGTTTATTTACTCATACATTTGCAACTTTACCAAAATAGGCCTTGTGACACAAAATAGGCCTTTGTGATTTTAGAGACATAAAATCATTCTAAGGCAGGCAGTTCATTTATAGATCTGTTGATAAATGTGGGCAAAAAAAAAAAAAACCCAACAACAACAAAAACCCTGTTGTAGTATTTTCACTATTATGAAAACACTGTACACATTAAAACCACATAGTTATTTTGGCTGAAATATTTATTTTTATAATAGTGGCCACAGACAGAATGACATTGGCAGACTTTTAATATTCAGGAAAAAATAACATCTTAAGTTGAACACTCCAAGAAAAATATGAATGTATAATGAATATGGCCCCATGAGTTTGAGTGTTTCATAACAATGACAACACTACCATCCAGCAGAAAGGCTGATGACTCACCCTGCATATGCGCTAGTTAGAGAAATCCAGCATTTCAGAAATTTTCTCTAGATGATGTATCTACCAAGTTATATCAGGACACACGAGTAATAAGAAAGGAACATTCAGTGCTACTTATCGAGAAAGTAAGCAATGAAGTGAAAGGGATAGAGGGAATCGGATTGTTTGCCATAGTGTGTTGTCATTTCAGATTTGTTTCTTCAGAACAGAACCAATAGCAATGACCACCTTTTAAAAAAGAGTAGTGGTAGTAATTTAAATTGCATGACTGACAATGGCTTTTTCATAATTTTTTAAAATTCTTTTTTAAAGATTTTATTTATTCATTTGACAGATAAAGATCACAAGTAGGCAGAAAGGCAGGCAGAGAGAGAGGAGGAAGCAGGCTCCCTGCCGAGCAGAGAGCCTGATGCGGGGCTTGATCCCAGAATCCTGAGATCACGACCCGAGCCGAAGGCAGAGGCCTAACCCACTGAGCCACCCAGGTGCCCCGGCTTTTTCATAATTTTAAGTAAATGCACTTTAATGTTAACAGGAATAGTGCCTGCAGTTAATAGGTACTAACTGTGGGCCAGGGAATTTATGTACATTGTCTCAGAAATCCTTGCCATAAGCCTACGACTGTAGCTACTTTAAGAATTCCAGCTTTGCAGGCGCCTGGGTGGCTCAGTGGGTTAAGCCCCTGCCTTCGGCTTGGGTCATGATCTCAGGGTCCTGGGATCAAGTCCCGCATCGGGCTCTCTGCTCAGCAGGGAGCCTGCTTCCTCCTCTCTCTCCGCCTGCCTCTCTGTCTACTTGTGATCTCTCTGTCAAATAAATAAATAAAATCTTAAAAAAAAAAAAAAAAGAATTCCAGCTTTGCAAGTGGAATATTGAGGATGGAAGGGGTTAACTATTTTGCTCAGCATCATATAGCTAGTAAGAGCTACAGCAGTAGCTTGAACTCTCAGGGGTGTCCCCAAGTTCATGCTGTTAATGAATCTTACCTCAGAATTTCAAACTCATGGATTTAAAAAAGTGTTGAAATCAATTTATAGACTCACCATGACCATGTAATATGATCAAATCCAAGTGTTAGTTAGAACAGGCTAGCTAATGACAAGCTGCGATAGGAGCCTTGGCACGGAAAAGGTACAGTGAGAACCCATTTAGGGTATGCTTCCCAACTGTGAATGGAGCTAGAGAGATGTCAGGAAAAAAAAAAACACACCTGTAGACAGTGGCTCTTATGTGTGTTTAAATATCACTAAGGGCACATTATTTCCCACAGGTCATGTTTGAACTGTGGACTCTAAAGCCTATAATGGGATACTGTAATGGGAAAAAGTAAACTGAAGCCCAGTATGCCAGAGAAGGAAAGACCAAGAAAATAGGAGAATGTCACAGTTGATGAAAAGTACTAGATAAACCCTCATAATTGTACAGACTTCTGTTTTTAAGGTGCAACATTTCATTACATTCTAAAGATAAGCCCATAACACTGATATCTTGAAGGCTTAGGACAAGGTCTCCCTTATAATCTCCCGGAGAAAGGAACTATCAGGAAAGCAAGTTTCCTTAAACCAGAGTCAAGGACACTAAGAAGAAAATTTTGTAAAAAATAATGGTTGACTGAGTGGACTTTGGGAGATAAACTGACTGAATTACAAGGCACTCATTTTTTTTTTTTTTAAGATTTTATTTATTTATTTGACAGACAGAGATCACAAGTAGGAAGAGAGGCCTGCAGAGAGAGGTGGAGGCAGGCTCCCTGCGGAGCAGAGAGCCCGATGCGGGGCTTGATCCCAGGACCCTGGGATCATGACCTGAGCTGAAGGCAGAGGCTTAACCCACTGAGCCACCCAGGCACCCCCAAGGCACTCATTTTTTAGATAACTTCAGTTTTATAAGAAAATTCCTCCAGCATAATTAATTATGTAAGATGTACCAACATGTATTGTTGAAGTAAAGAGATGAGTGTGATAGGAAACATTTAATCATTAGAGCAATTAGGCAAAGTTATTGTTAATACCACCCCCACTTAAAGATGAGATTTCTGGCACAAGAGGGGAGATCCCAGAGGAAAAAACATACTTCCAGTGTAATTATTAAACAAATATCAGGCATTGCCATTATCACAGAATAAATGTATAATTTACACATAAAGAATATATACATACATATATATATACAACCCACAAACACCTACACACATATGTACCCAGGCACATATATACACACAATTTACACATACATATGCATGTATACACACATTGCAGACATTATTTTTACACGAAGTTCACATATACACTTATAAAATCCTTGCCTTGCTGCCTTTCATGCTCCTATTGCCTCGCACAGCTCAACAGTAAGTAGTAAGCGCCTGGAATGAAGCAAGTGCTCTGCCAAAGCCCATACAAGCATTTTCTCATTTTATCCTCCAAATAATTCTGTGTGATGGTTACTATTATTATCATCCTCATTTTGCTGAATACACAGAAGCTTTTGGAGTTCATGCAGGGCACGTAAGTCCATGGAGCTGGTAAGTGACTGAAGCCATAATTCAAACTCTGGCACCCCAGCCTCCCAGATTAGCTGTTGACAACTGCCCTGACTCCTGCCCTGGAATCCGGATCCAACCAGCCGCTTGGCATGACCTCCCTGAACATTTCCCAAATGCAAAACGTACAAAACTCACTCACTGTTTCCCTCGCAAACTTGTTACTATTCTCACCTCAGTAACACCGCTCTCCAACTCACTGCCAAGGACAGAAATCTGGGATTCATTTGAGCTTTTCTTCTTTTTCCTCTCACTGCCCCAGTATTCCCCAGAAGGGGGACTTCCCACACTTCCCTTCTCCGTCCCTCATGTATACTGCTGGTCCCTCTTTCCAGCCACTTCAGGAGCAACCTTATCTACTTGAACGTGGGAGAGCCTTCTGACTCTTCTTGGAAGAGCAATGAATTCCTGGGACCAGTAATTCACTGAAAAACGTTAACGATCTTCAAGCAGTGTTGCCATACAATTACCTGGACTCCTGACCGGTGGAAAACTCACCGGGCTCCCATCCCAGCTCACCCATAATTCTCTGATTCACAGAACATGTATATCTGACTGCCCAAGCCCTCTTGACAGTCCCAAGCTAGGTAATTAGCTCCATCTAAATTCCCTTTCAGCCCTCGTGACTTTTAGGAGTTAAAGAACACTATGTGCGCCCCTCAGCAAGTTGTGAGTTTGGCCTTTAGCCTCAGGCCTCCCAACACATCCACGCTGTGGGGCTATCTAATATAATTACGCCCTATGCTACGAGCTACTGTTATATATTACCCTTCATCAAAGCGAGGCAAGCGAACATTACACCAGCAACAAAGAATGATGAATTCAAGTTGCCAAGTCTCCTAGTGGTTCAGAGATTTAACTATGAGGGTTGTTTTATTTTCAAACAGTTGAGAATGGGCTGGTTAGACAAGTTGGTTAGAGAGGAAAATTAATCCAGCCACAGCTGTGGGTTTGATCTCTGCATGAATCAGTTAAATCAATGTAAAGAAACCTGTTCCATAAGCCCAGACTTTACTTCCAAACACACAGCCAATTATCCTGCAAATATGTGTGGTTATTCACAAGTGGTATATACATAAACATAAGGATGACAGTACAACCCATCAAACCCATACAAAGAAACAATTTTGAGTATGTACTCTAAAGCCCAGTTGGGCATGCTTGATCTAGAGACAGACAGCTTTGGTTCAATTCCTTGCCAAACCACTTATTAGCTGGGTGATTTTAGGCACGTTATTTAATTCCACTGAGACTCAATTTTTACTAACTTATAAGTTGGGAGTTATAAAGGTACTAACTTCAATTAAGAATGTTGTGAAATTTCAAAGAGACAATCCACGTAACGTGCCTGGCACAGTCCATGAGGCAAAGAAGTCACTTTAACACATTAGCTGTTCATTAAATTACTGAAATCTACATGTTTGTCATTTATTAAAATGCTCATTGATAGCTGGAATATAGTACTCTTAATTTAGTGCATCTTTATTTGTACTATGGCAATTTGGCCTGGCAGAAATAATGAGTTCAGTGTGCTAATGACTATATAATTTTAAGAAAATAATTAAAATTCTCTGGACTTAGTGTGCACCACTGTAACCGTCTGTAACAGGTCAAATTTGCTGGACGGGAAAAATGAAATTATTTATAAGATACAATTCCACTGCAAGGGTGTGTGGGATTTGGATTTTTACTAAGAGCAACCAATACAGACCTAATTACAATGGAAATTCAAGAGAAAATAAAGACATACACGGAGCCCATAGAAAACAAACACTTGCAACATTTTACACTTTTAATTTTGATCATCTCATTAAAAAAACTTCTAATAAAAAACTTTTTATTGGGTAGATAAAGTGTGTAATCAAAATGGCAATCTATAAGGTCCCTGGGAACATGAGTTCTTATGATTCATAAACTATATGATTTAAACTTTATATTCAAATCTGCCTGTTTTTATGTCAAAGACATTAAGTGACAAGATATTATAACTAATTGTTTTGATGCTATTTCATTATATTACCTCCTTGTAGACTCCAAGATCAATATAACCACATATTGGATGAAATGCTCCAGTTCCACACACATAAAGATGAGTTTTGTTATAGGGTTGAAGTACACGGATGAAATTTGCACATTCTGTCTATTGGACATAAAAAAAATAAAAGCATTAGCACACAATTCACGTTTTTGAAAGATCATCATTCACACCACCTGTTTTTCAAGTAGATAAATCATTAAGAAAAACAACAGAAATGAAAATGATTTATAAGACATGCTTAAATATCTGACTTAGCAAAAGAGGCAAAACAAACTAGAAACTGTGGCTTAAATGAGCGACTGAAGCTTTTTTGAAGTTTTACAGGTGTTGAACTAATCGGAAAGCTAGAATGCACATCTCCACGGTGTTCAGCAGGGCCTAGAGAATGGATGTCAACAGAATGAGATATCCACACCTTCTTTCAGGAATTACCTAAGAACAAAACCTGTCATGTTCTCATGATCCCACATTTTTATCCCGCATAGATCCTACTGTTGACAACATCAACCGTCTCAGCTACACTGAACAAAACACAAACACACTTGTGTATTCCCATGTAGGTATTCCATTCTTATTGGATGGAATGCCCTACCACTTTATTCCCATCTATTTTCAATGTTACAGAGCATTTAAGATTTAATTTATGTTTATTTCAAGAGTTTTTTGTTTTTCCCATACATTTTCTAACACCAAGTCAAATTTTTAAAGGGATTTTTATATTTCTGCTCATTTTGCATGTGCTTCGTCCTAAAAATATATCTTGTATTATTTTTTTTATAACGTATATTATCTATCCCCTAGTTACTTCTAAGTAGTGACTCTTAAATTTTCCATAGTAGTTATTCCTGTTATTGTATATAATTTCTTATTTACCTCCCATAAATAATTCCTTATCTTTACATAATTGTTGGCTTCAAGGTTCCTGTACCCCAAAACCCCTGAGAAAACACTGGGCTGGAATATACTTTTATTCTAGATTGACTCTATCTAGGAGACAGGGAAGTGTTCACCAAGAAAGGTATAAACATACAAAACAACTGGGATTCACAGAAAAAGTCTAGTTCTTCACTACCTGAATGGCCATGGGTTCCTCACTGGTCAGACGTTGACCTAATGGGTCACTCTTGTTGTTAGGGTTGTTAAGAAGGAATATATTACAAAAAAAAAAAAAAAAACCCAAATGACAAAAAAATAGTGATGTACCTGGTAGGGTGGTTTTTAGAATTAAATACAATTTTCAGAAGGCAGACAACAACTTAACTGGCAGGATTAAGTTAAATAATATAATATTAATACTTCTACTTACCTTGATTCCGATCTATATAAAATATCAATATCCCTGTGGCTATTCAGATTTTAGAGTGAAAACCTATGCCTGCCCATCTGTGGTACAGAGTTCCTAGTCTCTAGGACTTCCGTGGGCCAGCTAGCCTTGCAATTTTATGTCTCAAGAATTCATAGATCCCAATTAATAAAATGTGTACATTCTAACACAGAAGAATGTTACAATGAATTCATGGTATCTTCTGTTCTCTGCTTTCCTATAAACAAAGCAGTTGCTTAAAACTGTCTGAAGGGACAGTATCATTATCGGTATCTAAGAGAGCTACACAAGTCAAGGATGTTTCTTTCACAGATAGGCAGACTTAGCACTCTTGAGGCTGGGCGGGGGAAGGCGCTTCTAAGAATGTGCAAATTACACTACAGACATCTTTATTATCTTGAATATTTTCATATATTTTGTGTATGTTCTCAAACATTCATTATATGCAGTCTCTTAAGAAAGGAACACTTCAAATTCACGAAAGACAGTTTTCTGGCAAGTAGTCTTGTTTAACAAAATCCTTATTATATCAGTTTTCACCTTTCTGTCAAGGTGTCTGACAGAGAGAATTTATTTTCTGTTTGCACAAAGGCACCACGGGGTTCTAGCTTCATATTCTTTAACATCATATTAGGCAATCTCAAACGAAAATCAAATTCAGACAGTACATAGGTCATACTAATGGTTTAGAACAAATTATAGAGACACAGTAATATGAGAAAAGCCAAAGCAAAGGGTTTAAAAATGTCTGTGATCACCAGATCAACTGTAATGACGGCTTCATCACTAGAGTGAGAGGCTTTAACATTCTTCAGCTTTTATTTTACTCACTCATGCTCACTGAAGGAACTTTTATTTCTTGGTCGTCCCCTACCTCTTCCCCCGCCCCACCACGAAGCCCTTTATACAAGCGTGAGATCTATACCAGGAACAGTACACAGGGAGGGGAAGAGTAGAGTTACGCTGCTAGAGCGAGAAGGGACTGACTCGCTGCCCATTATTTCATCATTTTTTTAAAAAGCTATTTTAACAAATAGTCATAGAATTTAGAGGGTACTTGCTATGAAGGGAGCACATGTGTCCTTTAAAATTCAGGGGTTGAAACCCTAAGCCCCGGAGTGGGATGGTAACAGGAGGTGGGGCCTTTGGAGGTAATTAGCTTTCCAAAAAAGCCCTGAGATTAGGATCATCATGATGGGAAGAGACAGAACTCTCTTTTTCCCTTTATCCCCCTCCCTCCCTTTCTCTCTCTCTCTCCCTCTCTCTCTCTCTCTCTCTGTGTGTGTCAGGTGAAAATAAAACAGGATGATGGCCATCTGCAAGCCAGGAAGAGAATTTTCATCAAGCACCCAATCTTTTGACACATTGGTCTTGAACTTCCCAGCCTCCAGTACTGTGAGAAATAAATGTCGGTTGTTTAAGCCACCTAGTTTATGACTTTTTTTTTTTACAGTAGCCCACGCTAACTATGACAGCAATTTTACAAGATTCTGCAACAAATATTTGTATAAAGAAATAAAGCTACTTCTTTTCCAGATTATAAATTATGGAGTCGGAAAGAGTAGGGACTATGAGAGACACAGCATTGTTTTTAAAAAGGCTAATAAGGTCCGGGGTGAAATTTTATACACAGAGGAGACATAATGTTACTAATTATAAAGAAAAAGCTCTGAATCACACCTAAAACATTTCACATCCTTTAACTTTTCTAGGAGTACTTTATGAAAACGCAGCCAGCCCTGGAAAGTAATTTATTATGTTAGTTTTCTGACTTGGTGAGATATTCGCTAGGATTTATGACATTCCTCCTCCTCCAAGATTGGGCTGACATGGACCAGAATAATTTATGGGTGAACCCTGAATTGTCTCACAGATTACAGAAAAGTCAGTTCTGCTCAAACTGTTCTGTAGTGAATTTGAGAGAGGGTAACTATCAAAGCAGGCTGGAGGCAAGGGAAAGGCAATAGTTGCCTGAAGGAGAAGAAAGCTGGGAACAGATCCTACAAGATGGAGTTTTGCTTAAATAGCAGGAGCAATGATTAACTTGATTTAACTCACTTAGCGACCTGCATGGCTATTCATGGCAGCGTAATTCCGTGAGGCATGAGAAAAGATAATTTTGAGAAGCAGCTTTCTTAACTTTCCCCGAAAGCTGGCTAATTTGTTAGCTATTCCCCACAACTCCAAGTGTGGTTGCATGTGAGCGAACATTTCAATTTAGTGAGTAATATGCTCAAATTTGGAAAAATGCGAATTTCTCCTTCCTTCCTTATTCTTCCCACCTACTTCCCCTCCCACCTACTAGCACTCCCATCAGAAGAAAGAGAAAATTTAAAACTAGTATCAACTTTTTAATTCTCTCAAGTAATGCTTCAATATTTTACCTCACATATACATTTACACATTGTATGAAATTAAATAAATAAGACATTTGTAAAACTGATTAAATATTTGGAAGAAAAGGCTAATATATATTTGTATTATATATTAACACTTGGAATTTTAGTTTCACCCTAGATATGGGGGGGGAAGCAATACAGAAATGCATCAATTTTAATTCTCTAGACTTATATATATTCCAATTAAATCTAATTCAGCTTTATATATATATTGATAACTAATTTATAATTGCCAATTTTAATTTATTTAGGTTATATGTAGAGAGACACTCATGATTTAGGTATCTAGTTTGTTTTTCTTTTTAGTGTATTTTGCAGAATATAGTGATCATCAAACATTTTTGGTCATTACCACAGACTTTGCACAGTGCTCCAGGGTCTAACAGACCTCAGAACAGAATCCAGTCTACAGAGTGTATGAGTGGTTCAACAGCTTAAGCAGCCACTCTTGATTTAGGCTTAGGTCATGATCTCAGGGTCCTGGGATCAAGCCCAGCTTTGCTCTACGCTCAGCGGGGGTCTGCTGGAAGATTCTTTCTCTCCCTCTCCCTCGGCTCCTCCCCCGATAACACATGCATGCATTCTCTCTTTCTCAAAAAGAGATAAATTCTACACAGGTATGTGCTTAGGTCTTACAGTGTTGAGAATATTTTGATAAGTTGTCGACACTTCAAAATAAATGCATGAAAATCCCCATATTACATTTCTCTCTTAAAAATGCGAGATCTAAAGTAAAAGTTTCTCCAGAGCAAAAACTAGCTGTTGTAGCAAGACAGAGGAAAATATTTTAAAGAAAAAAAAGAAAGGTATGCCTATTAAAATATTTAAAAGTGTATATATCAAATAGGATAAATGGGAAAAAATATTTTCAAGTAAGTTGATCACAAAGTAATAATATATTTTATACAAATTTATATATCTTAAAATATCTATAATAACATGATATAATAATATATATATCTTGAAATCTGTAAATAACCAGTAAGGAAAAAGAAAACACTAAAATTTAAAAATAAAGAAATTATAGGGATATGAAATTCCAAAAAGTAAGCCCTAATTTTACAACTACATGAAATATTTAGCATTTATAGTGATGAAAGAATTTCAGGCAAAAATAACAAAAATAATTTTCTTTTTGTTGGCAAAGATTAAATATGTTTATTTTATTGATTTACATTTTAGCATTAAATATTAACCATATGTTGTACCCACTATAATTAGCAAGAGTATGGCAAAGTATACCCCCTCATGAACGTGCATTGCTGGTTCAAGCACAAAAGGCATAAATGTTCTGGAGGGGAATTTTTGCAATGTGTATAAATAATTTTATATCCCCCCAAAACCCCAAAATTATATCCTTGACCTGTAATTCTACTCCAGAATCAAAGATGTTCTCAGTATTTACATATTAGATTCTTCATGTGAAGCATCACTTTATAATAGCTAAAAACTGGATGTATACCAAACTTCTAACAATAGAGGATTGATGAAATAATATATAAAGGAATGCAGTGTGGCTATTAAAAGTTGTGTTATAAAAAGGAATTTAATGACATGGGAAAATGCTCATGGCAGTTTGCAAAGTGAAAAAAAAATGTTTTAGGGGACTATGTATACAATGATTTCATTCTGAAAAATAGTAAATAGATAAGATAGAAGAATAAACATCAAAATGTCACCAGCTATCTCTAGGCAGTGTTCATGGGGGAGGAGATATTTACGGATGACTTCCATGTAATTTGCAAACTTTCGACAAGGAGCACTTTGTTTTGCTTTTAGACGTTCTTTAAAAAAGAAGAAAGAAAGAATGTAATCACAGAAATTGGGCGATGGAGGATCCTTGAAGTCTATGTCATGTCTCCATTGACAAGGTTGTGTGCCTCTAGGGTTAAGATGACAAACACAACCCAGGCTACCCACATCCTGTGCGTTCTTTTGCCTGGACTGAGCTGTTGACTCCACTCTTTAAAGGCAGGACTAAGGACATTTCTTTAGTGACTTTCTTTTGAATAATATTCTAAGCAGAAACAAAATACTATGAAATAGCTTCCTGTCACTATTTCCTTTCTTTGGACCAAACTGGAGACTGTGGTCAAGAAAGGGGAATAGTTCTCTTTTGTTTCCTCATCTTCCACTCCCTCCCCACCCCAATTAGTTAACTTTCATTATGGTAAATAATTCACTATTTTTCCAGTTATATAGTACCTTTGTGTAAAGGGACAGTCTTTCCAAACACTTGTTAATCCTAAAAACACTCTTGGGAAGTAGGTAAAAATTACTAGAGAGAAGGGAGGAGAGAGGGTAATGCCAAAGGTAATAAAGAGGTCAATAAAACCACACACTTGTCTCAGTTTTCTGTCGGCTGAAATCTGTGCAATGCTGTAAACTGAGGATCTCTGTTATGGGGACACTGAAGAGAGAAGGGATTTGAGGGGTACAGTTTGAGGGATAAAGTTTTCAGACCTTATACAGAGAGTTCAGACCTTTATGTGTAGATCACAGTGTTGTGTAACAGCACGGATTATGGGGCAAGACTTCTGGATTCAATTCCTGGCTTCGCTATTTACTAGATATGTGATACTGGGCAAGGCATTTAATTTTTTTGGCCTCAGTCTTCTCATCTTTAAAAGGAGGGATAATAATAAAGTCTAGCATATAATATTGTTTTAAGGATTAAACGAGATTATAAAGCATTGGAAGTTATTCCTAGAACATGGTAAGCGCTATGAAAGTGTTAGTATTTCTAAAATCAAAATGCTATTATTTTAAAGATTAAAAAGGTTAAACAGATTAAACAGAAGGAGACAGAGAATTGTATTATCCCTACATAAGTCAACATCAAATTCTACAGATTGCAGTAAAAAGAGAAAAACTCCCCACACCTCTAGTCCTGGGCTGGTAGTAGGTGTGCTTGAAGGTTAAAGGTGATTATAGCTCCCAAATACAAACGAATTGCAGGAATAGGTTCCATATACTGGGTCCTTCATGCTCTAGGATACGACCACCAGAGAAGTTTATCACCCTTTGCTTTACCTTAATAATAAGAGCAACTGAGTTACTATATAACTAGAACTAGTGAACATTCTGAAATGAGAACACTGTCACAAAACCTTCACTGATTGTTTGACCTTGAGTCTTTATCCCTCATGGGAACACTAACATTAGTTTATTGGAGGAAATTTAAACCACTTTTTCCTACTTGCCTCCTTTTTAAACAGTCAGTACTGATACGACACAAAATATTAAAGTATTTGTGTTGTCTATGGCATGTTTGTACTGTTATTAAAATAATTTTGAAAACTCTCATAATCAATGCATCTCTTTTTCCCCTACAGGTACAGAAAAAGGACTGAGGATTTGCAGACCTGAGCACCTGCTCAGTTAAGATATTAAACAGGGTGAAGAGATTAGAGATAAGACAGGAAGAAGACTGTGTTATAGAATAGCTTGATCTTTTTCATTTCAAGTAAAATAAAAGCAAAAACTATTTCCTGTTTCCTTTGATGCTAATAGCCCCTGATATATTTCTGTTAACATAAATGTGCCTGAAAAGATAACATTTAATACTGAAAGAAAACAAAATAGGGCATAATCATAAGTTTCTTACTTTTGTTTTGTTTTGATCATTTTGTGTTGCAGTGGTCGTTACTATGTATTAAAAGCTCCATGACAGTAGAAACTGTATCCTTTCACACACATATTTATGTACATATTTAGGTTCTTAATACATGTTTGTTGAATAAATAAATACATGAACAAATGGATAAGCAAACCAGCTGTCTCAAATTCTTAGTCTTCTAAACTTCCCCTCAATTATATTAGGCATCATGTGTCATGTTGTTTGATTTTTGTCCCATTGATAAAGTGAGAATTTTTGTATCCAATTATGCTTTCCTCTAACACACACTCTTTGTTGTTATTAAATATAAAGGCATGGCTCAGCTTAATACCCCTGGGTTACTGTGTTTACAGCAACATTAGAGACTGTTGCACAAGAAGCCTCAAGATATCCATGTTTCTGAAAAGTTTAGAACCTCTTTTCATCTTCAGTTACATTCAGGAAGTCATTTATTTTGCCAAGAAGGAAAAAAAGAGAGAAAGAGAGAGAGAGAGAGAGAGCAATTCTTCCTATCACCACAGGGCAAGAAGTCAGGGCAGAACACAGAGCATCTGGCCTGAATCAGAACCCTCCGATGAGGAGAAGAGGCAGAAAGCCACAACACTCTTCCGTCATTGCTGGAGATAAAACAGACAACACAATGTGGGGGAGAATGCAGGACAACTTGGACAATGTGAAAGCAATTCAGACAGGATGCCTCCGAAGCAATTAAGTAGGTCTCCTGCATCTATAGGTTTCCTTAAGGCAGCTTGAACCAGAAGTTTCTATTAGAACCTCAGTATTTATCCTTTATAAGTTATTTCATATAATTACACTTAAGCGAACTTTAGAGTGAATTATTTCTAGTTCTTTTCCAGAATGTTATAATCCTTCTTAGTATCTCTATAATGTCAGCTCTTGAAATTTTTCTTCAGGATGTTACAAGTTTAATTTTAATCCAAATTAACTTAAATATCAATTGAATGTTTGTGATGCTAAAATACTCATGATTTTGTATGAATTTACAAAATATAGGCATATAAATGAAAAATATACAATCCTACGGGTATATTTTCTGATTTTTTTAATATTTTAAGTGCATTTCTGAGATTTGTGTGAAGAAAAAAATAATATCCAGAATTAACACTTTAGAAAGTCTAGTATTTCTAAATTTCTAAGAATAATGGCATTCCATTTGCCAAGATAGAAATATTTTATATCTTCTTAATCTTTACACAGGATGTTAATGCAGTCTTAAAAATAATATACCAACACTATTAATTCAATAAAAACCAATATAAATATTTATTATCATATCAATACCAGTTTAACAAAGATATTTTTAAAGTCTCATACTTACATTGGCATCTTTCCCAGCTAATTTACATAATTCCACTCGTTCTTTTGCAGCGGGCCAATAAATCTGTAAAACATTTCAAAGTGTGTCAGGATCTCAATATCTAAAACACCCTCCAATTCTAATCAGGGAAATGAGTGTGTTAAATTGAAGAGTGGATATCAAGCTAAAAGCATGTTGTTAGATATGATGTAAAAATCTTGAGATTCAGTTATTTTCCAAAGCCACCCTAAAAAATTTTCTAGGAAAAACTACAGAACCATTCATTTGTATATTTCAATCTTCTAATTTAATATAGGTAGATTATGCTGAGAAGGCCATAAAATCTTAACACGATGCCGATAGAATTTCAGCATAGCATTTACTTAAGTAAGAGATTCTATTTACGCTGTTTTTCTGTACTTACCCAGAGAAGTGGGGCATTATAAATGCGTACAGGGAAGTGTATGAAACAACACTTGTTACAAGCATTATTATCACGCCAAGTCAAAGATCAGTGTGGATCTGCTGGCAAACGTAACATGTAAGGAGCTCAGGTGCATCTGTCACTTAGTTAAACATTTTTGTATGTATTATGTTATTTAAATTTCACAATGACCTCATTAGATGGCTGGAGTTACTCTCCCCACTTTCACATCAGAAAACTCATTCATACGGCCATTAAGTCACATCAAGTAACATGCCACAAACATAGTCACCGGCAAAGCCAAAATATGACCCAAAGTCTGTCTGAACTAGTGGGTCTCATTCACTACATAGTAATTATTATTTGGGGAAATGATTAAGGATGAGAGCAGCAAATCCCTTGGTTGGTAGCTTTTGATCATGTTTTAACCATCTTGAATTTATCCCACGTGTTTTCTTTCTTTTTTTTTTTTTAACAAACTTTAGCAATTCTTTCAAGAAGGTTTTGCAAAATAAGGCTCAAATAGTTACTTTACTCCATTAGCTTAAAGAAAGAAACATTCTGCTAAGCTAGAGGCAAGAAGAAACAAGAAGAACTAACTCCAAGTTGCTTATATGTTCCAAGAGTTCCTGACAAACTGATTATGTTTCTCACCAATGTTAGCAGAAAATGTCTTAACAGCTGAGGAAACAGGAAAATATCCTGAGGGAATGCACCAAAAGAGACTTGTTAAACCTGGAATTCACAAATGACTTAGAAGTCACAAGTATTTATATGGTATTATCTTCATAGTAAAACTTTAGGGTTTTATGGCTCTGAATAAAGAAGAATAGAGTATACACTCAAACTCTCTTAATACGCAAATTCAATAAAATTACTAAGATTTTTAAAAGAAGCAAGATTTTTCATTTAGAGCACATTTTAACAGGCTGCAAATTATGTCCAAAGGTATTCCTAGGCATCTCTAGCAAAATACAGGCAGAATGTTTAGAACCAGCAAGTACGCTCAAGTGATGAGCTAACCTTGATGCGGTTCGTAAAAAGACCCTGAAGATGCTATTTATTCAAAAATGGTTTAAATCATGTAATTATGTGTTCACACAATTTTGAAAATTAGCAAGCTATAAAATAGAACTAGACCACAGCAATAAAAATTAGCAATTCGTTGTAAGGTAAAAAAGTACAGTCCCCCAAATTACAAACAGAAAAAAAAAAAAAACCTTAAATAAAATAGACACTTTTAAGGTATGTGGGTAGATGGAATAAGTAAGTAAAAGAAGAGTGATGAATACGGGATTCAGAGCAATGTTTGCTCCAGACTGCAAAAAAGAAGGCTTAAATGGTGGGAAGGAACAGCTATTTATCAGACCTTAGCTTTTGTTGGGGATGGTATTTCAGAAATTTAATGCATAATTTAAAACAGCTGATTAATGCAGATTAGAGAAAAAATTAATCAAAATGGGCCATGCATAGGCTGATGGACAATAGTCAATCATCTACCCAGAATCACAAGGTCTAAATAAACAAATGAGTGAAGCAGAGTAAGCATAGAACACTGCAGTTGGTGGGAAAGTTGAAAGTTTCTTCCAGTTGCTTTTTAATTGTTTGTATATTTGCTTATTTTTAACCATTAGTAGCAAAAACACTGAAGCCAGTCTCATTTTTTTTCTTGGTGATTCATTTTTATTATTATTTTTAATTGTGGTAAAATGGACATAACATAAATTTTACCATCTTAACTATTTTTATAGTTCAGGATCATCAAGTATATTCACTTCGTGCAACCAATATCCAGAATTCTTTCATCTTGCAAAACTATAACTTGGTATTTGATGATTCTTGAAAATTATAGTGACTTTGTAATATTATAGTGATTCTGGAATATTATAATGATTTCATTGGACTTAAAACAAAGGGTATGCAGAATACATAGCCATGATTTGCCAATGCGTTTAACCATTAGTTCGTTTTACTTGGTCTCTAGTCTAGATTAAAACTTCTTTGAGTCCTTAAAATATGTCAGATGCTAGTCTTTTCTGTTTTTTATGATAAGTTTCAATCATATTTCAGAAATAAATTTAGAACACATAATTACAAGTATTTGTTCTGATCTAAATATCATATTGGTATAAATTCTATAAAAAAAGAAAAGGAAAATACAGAATTCTTCTATATTAAGTAAATAAGATTTAGAGAGGAGGAAGATTATCACAGGGTTCTATTTTTTTTTTTTTTTTAACCTTGAATCAGCTTACTGGGTGGTGAGTTAAAGCAAATCATGAGATAAATGTTTCTAATATTGATTTTGAATATATCTGTAGGGGCTTCAGAAAGGAGGGAGTTATTTAACGAGTGATGAAATGTAGAAGCAATCCTTATGTCTTCTTTGAAATCTGAATGAAAGTTTCAAAGTTAGCACAAAGTAGTTATTGTTCACTAATTATTCCTTCAACACACACATAATTACAAAGGGCCCTCTGTATGGTGTGGCACTGAGTCAGGAAGATAGTTCTGTAAACAGAGAAGGTGACTCCATTTCTCCAGGAGATACAAAGCAAGCAGAGAGCTCAGAGGATGGAGTCACTGGGCTCAGGGGGCAGCACGGGACCCCGAGTGGCTGACCAACATACAGAGCCATTGACTTTTGAGCCATTGTTTCCAATTACTTGCTCTTAATAGTTTCGACTCTAATTTTTTCTTAAAGACATAACGCTAAAAACAGGAGTTGCAGATTCCTTTCTTCTCTTTGCAAAGGAATACAAATCTCTAAAAGATGTTTTAATGGTTTTGTTGTACACTTTTGGCTATTAATTTTAAGTCCTATCATTGTAAGTTGAATTGACTGTTAAGTCACATAATTGTAAATTGAAATGTGTCATCCTAGTTAATGAAGCAAAAAAAACTAAAATTACAAGCATCAGAGAATCAGGTTTTTGATTAGTGGGTAAATGTTTTACAAAGATACTTAAGCACTGAGAATTTGTTGAGCGCCAGAAACCAATTTTAATAAATCTTCTAATTTCTGTTTATAAAGGATATTTTTTCCCCAAATGTAATCTCACTTTTCATCATTTACCTTCAATCCCATAATGTCTAGACCCTGTTAAAAATAGAAATTATCCTTTAATCATTGTTATTGTACAGTAATTCAAGATAGTATCACAAAGATAATTTTACTTCTTAAGATAATGTAAGCCTTAAAAATAAAGATTCATTAAGATTAGACACTGGCTTATTTTGACACAATGCTGTCAAGAATTCAGGAATTGCAAATAGAATTACCTTAATAACAGCAACCTAAGAGATATCTGATTGTCTTCCAGTCTCAAAACATTTACTTAAAAGGAGGTAAAAAGAATCATTGTAGTTGTGCCAATATTTAAAAGCTATCACTTTAATTATGATTTATAGCAGGATTTTCTTTTTTCACCACCTAGTCATTAGAATAAAGGGTCTTTTAAAAAATATTCCTTTTAATTCTTTGTTGGTAAAGAATTAAAAGAAGCAAAATTTCACTTAATTGAATTTAAAAATATAATCAAGCAAAACAATAAGTAAAAACAACAAAAAACCCACGTACTTATATGGGGTTGGCAGAAATATGTTCAAGTAATATTTCTGTTTTTCAGTAATGTTTTGAAATGGCATATATGTGACATACTATATCACTATATCTCTATATACATAATAAAAGTCCTTCACCACTTTCATATTCTTCTAGTCAAATTGTGTGTATGCATATGTGCATATATACATGCACGTGTGCACGGTATGTGAGCGTGTGCATGTGTGCATATACGTGTGCATGTGTTTGTAGGTGGATAGAGAGGGAGAAGAGAGAGAGATGTACACAGAGATACATCCAGAGAGATATTAACTCTGATTGAGTATAGAATAACAGAATTCATGAATTCATGAATTCATGAATAACAGAATTCATGAATACTCCCAAGTTTCAGCTTGGTTTACACAAAAGCCCAATAAGGACCTGAGATCCACAGATTATTTTGGTACTGAGTATTATCATATTCAGTAGCCCTGATTATTTTAGTAAAAATACAGTGTCCACAAAATCCATAAAAATCCCTCTTGATCATTAGGTAACGTGAACAGTTTTGAAGCAGTGGTTTTTAACATTCTCATGACTTCTGAATTTATTGGCAGTAAAATGACATGTACATTTCCTCACACTTCAGAGCATGGTACATGCAATGTCATGCTATATTAAAAGCTGTATGAGCAGGACAAAAAAACACATACCCCTAAAGTTGATGCAGCTGTACTACTCCCTTAGAAAGTTACCCGAGGATATTTTTCTTTCATTTATCAAAAAGAGACATACCAGAGGCAGAGATGCTACTTGCGTAATTGCCATAATAATTGTCCTGAAATATTGCCATGGAACACTAGTTTTTTTTTTTTATTACTATTAACATATACTGTATTATTTGTTTCAGGGGTACAAGTCTGTGATTCATCAGTCTTATACAATTCACAGCACTCACCATAGCACATACCCTCCCCAGTGTCCATCACCCAGCCACCCCCTTCCTTCCAGCAACCCTCAGTTTGTTTCCTGAGATCAGGAATCCCTTATGGTTTGTCTTCCTCTCTGGTTTCATTTTGAGGGAACACTAGTTCTTAATTAATATTGTATGAT